TAGTTGTAGCAAGTCTTCCTCATTTCATTGGATCAGCTTTTAACACTGGATGCAGCCCCAAAGCATGAACAATTAATTAAAATGCCACTAAAGTCAGTGGAGAAGTTGTTTCATTTTGTAGGCAAACCCTGAATATATGAGATGCATGAAATGGTCACAGAAGGTACAGGGATATATACATATGCATGAGGGTGTAGGAATCTTTTTAAAAGGCCATTTTGCAAGATAAAAGAAGGTATATTTATGGCAAATAAACAATTTGAGTCCAAATCACCTGAAGTAGAGAGGATCCAGTCAGCTGCAAACACGGAGCTGAGGAAAAGAGAGGTAATCTCAATGGAGGCAAAACTGTCCTAGCCATAAATTTTATATCAGAATTTAAGATCACTATACAGAGTTATAGTCTGGCTTCTTAGTGGTCTATTTGCTGCCTTTGTATTGATTGTCATTTTGTCTTTTCTTATAACATTGTTCACTAGACTAGGAGGTTGTTGCTGTTATGTGTCTTCAAGCTATTTCCAATATGATACTGACCAAAATCCTACATAGGGAGACATACTGTAAAGTTCTGCACAAGTGGTGATAAATAGTCTTCCCTCTTGCTTCATCCAAGACTCATCTTTCAGCTGCCACAGCATTCAATCCATGGCCATTTAGTAGAAAGTGGAGGGGGATGGAAAGTGTCACATTCCTATGGAATTCCATAGGAGTCTGACATCAAAGTATTGTGTATGAAAGGGGGAAATCAAGGGGGATTGTAGATTGAAGCAGATGGCTGCATCAGGGAAAAGACTAGGGCTGTTTATGACTGTTTATGAAGATGCCTTCCTTTCCTGAGAGATGGTGGGGAAATGGGAATTGAGAAGGGGAAAAATTCAAAGTGCTCTTTGAAGTGGCACAAATCGTGCTGGCTACAAGTGTGTGGAGGAGTTGGATAAAGGACTTTTAAAGTATTTTTTAACTTGGAAAAACTCAAGAGTTGATTTTAACCATTGTGGGGTAGTTTTGTGTGTTTTACAATCCAGAAAAAAACAATAGTTAATTTTCACTAAAATGCTGTCCTGGTTCTTCAAGTCTTCAGCTACCAAACATGACACGAAATCAACTCTCCCTCCAATGTCACCTCATCCATGGCAACAGCCTTCAGCCTGAGGTAAAGCCAATCAGGAGGTGCCTTCCCAGGACAAGAAGAATGACAGCCAGGTGGCACCAACCTGGGATTGTCGAGAGGGCTCTGGCTGGGAAACTGGAGCAAGACAAACCTGGAGAAGCTGGGGGAGGCTGGTGGTGGGAGGAAGCCCTGCCACCAGCACAGAGGCACAAAGAAGAATAAGTCCCAACCTACAGGGACTGGGAAGACTGGTCCATGGTGAATGAGGGGGCTGAAGAAAACTTCCATGGGTTGTGGGAGGAAGCTTTGAAGGACCCACTAAGCAAAGCAGAGGAAGATGAGTGGTTCCATACCCCAATGCCCAGCAGGAGACTGGGG